CACCCACAAACTTTACGGGTACCCACAAACTTTCCCCACCTGTGGATCCGGGCCTTTCCATTCCAGATCCTTGGTAGTGTCTTGATGCCCGTATCTCCCAGACACATATCCGCGTATATCCAGTGCCACCGCTAGCCGTCGGTCCTATGCAGGATCCGGATCGTCCAGATCCGGATATGTAGACATTAGTCCGGATAATCATTCGGTTGCCTTTTCGTCAATCAATCACTTAGTCTTATTCACGTGGAACTTTTGATCCACTTCACCACAGGTTCGTCCTCCCATACCACGGATATGTTACCGATCCGAGCTGATCACCTGCGCGAACATTTTGGCTTTACTGGCTACCCAGCACTTCGGAGTCGTCCCGCTCCCCTGACTTTCGATTGTCACTTAGACCGCCGCGCCGACTCTCCTATATGGCGGATCGCCGTATCCTACGCACGCCTTGAGTCGGATCACCTTGAAGCGTACTGGGAATCGACGCACTATCTCGAAATCACCAAGGCTATGTGCACCTCGGACCTGGATCTCCTGCAATACCACCTCGATCGTCGCCAGCGACGCATCCGAGTTGGCGATCCCTGGCGCAAACTGCTGGTATCGTGTCTCCCGATGATGTGGAATCTCTGGGCCGACAACGATCTCCTACTGGATCCTTTCTTCCTCCATTTGCCCACTACTCAGGATCGAGAAAGCTAGTACCCAGGACTCACCTCCCGAGCGGTTAATCTCGCATAGCTGAACGCGAACCTCGGGGTCTGATCACCGCTCTGGTTGAATGTGATCAGGACGATCCCTGGCGGAACCATTTCCGAGACCGTCCCACCGATCACCCGTCGCTGCGGATTCCGCGACACGCGAACAAGTTCAACCCTCCTACGGCTCCGATGCCTCCTTAGCTCGACGATCCGGCCTTGTTCCGTGGTCTCACCCGTGATCACTGCCCGTCATTCGGAGATCTCCATTTCGTCCTATCTGTTCCGGTAATTAACCAATCCTAGCCGTGTTCCCGTTCGCTTGCTCTTTCATGGCAACTACGGGGTGATCCACCTTCGCGCCGACTTTGTCTTCCTCGATCTCCCCGTGCAGCCCGATGCCCCATTTTTCATATGCACATCTATAAACATAGATTCCTGATCCCAGTCTTCTTACTGACTCGCATTTCTTCAAGGTTGAGACGACCAGGTAGTCTCACCTTGCCCCTCCTCACATCTTTTCATGTGACTGCATTACGCTGAATCGATTATGATTCACGCGCTCTCGTGTGAAAGCGTTCAATATCGCGCCACAGTTGAGATCGGCCTCGTCGACCCAGGTCGGTGGTCGTAGCCCACCCAATGTACCAAAAATTCTCGGTACATCCGACCGAAGCGAGTCTTCTTTTCACTCCGCACATCCGAGATCCGTTCAACCTCGTACTCGCCGGCTCTGAGGAATGGGACCCAACTATCCTCCGGGAGCGGGACTCATCAAAGTCGACGCGATCCGATTCGTTCACAGCGAGTTCGACTCGAGGTCGATCCGGGAAGTTCCTTACCAATTTTAGCTTCGACACATGAACTACCGGGTAGATCTGCTATCTCGTGCCTGCGATCTTGATTTTGATGGCGAATTCATTGATCTTCTCGGCGACACGGAATAATCCGTGCCAGAGGTGAGCCAATTTACGAGCGTACCCCTCTCTGACTCGGTCAAGATATAATCAAACCTGAGATCCCACCTCGATCTGGTGTGATCCAACGTCCTCATTATGTCGACTGGCGCGTTCTGAAATGGCTTCTCGCAATCTGGCGTTAATTTGTTCTCGTGACTGCTAAAAATGCCGTTGGACACGATAACGCCATCGTCGCGGGTCACGACCGTGATGTCTGGTGCATCCGACTGGAATTGTAGCCTCCAGCGTTGTTCTCGGATCCCACTATAATAAGGGGTATCTCCTCAAATCCGATCGTGCGCCGTGTTGATCGCGGAAGTGAGGCGCTCTGCGTACTCGTTCCAATCCTTCTGATCTAAATCGCGAACATACATCTTGAGTGCCCGATCGATGTATGTACCATTCTATCCGCGGTCCCGTTGGCTTGAGGTCGATACGCCATCGTCGCTCGCTGCCGTTGACCCAGGATTTTATTGAACGACCGAAAGAAGTCGGACATGAACCCGGGTTCTCAATCGTGTCTGATCATTTCGATAGCACCGAATCGCCGAAATACACACTCTTCATACGATTACGCGACCGTCTGGGCCGGTCGGGACGAGCTAGCCTTCGCGATCGCGTATTCCGTGAATCGATCGACCCAGATCAGCAGCTCAGTATCCCCTTTGTTTGATCGGGGCAGCGACGGTATATGATCCACCGCTATGATCTGGAACGGATATGTTGCTTGCAGATTCCCTGGTGATTCTCCCACGTATCTCTGAACGCTCCGGTATAATCCCCTCTAATGAAAATGATCTGGAACGGATATGTTGCTTGCAGATTCCCTGGTGATTCTCCTTGGATCACGGGCATACCTTTACCAGTTTAGCAGTTCATGCATTCTCCCACGTATCTCTGAACGCTCCGGTATAATCCCCTCTAATGAAAGTGATCTCGGATACGCTGGTAGGTGCGGTCTACTCCCCGATGTCCACCTTCTAACGTAGTATGATAGTGGTGAAAGACGTCCGATTGCAGCGTTTCAGGTTTAATCAGTCTCAGCAACCGATCGCGATCGTCCCCTGGTCTCGGTGTGGGGGGGGGTGCAGTAGAAGAGTAGATCTTGTTTGTCCACCTCGCAGTCGGCCACTATCTTGTCATACGATCTGGCACCCGCTTGCGTGAGGTCGGCGATCGAGCCACTCAGATACCGCTTGCGTGAGGTCGGCGATCGAGCCACTCAGATAATTCTTCACGCCTGTGATCCAAACCTCCTCCTCCTGTGCCTGCCTGATCCGATCGACTCGCATTTCTCGGATCAGTTCCTCTTGCATGACTCCTCCGGGCGACCTCACTCAAGAAGCTAGTGTGGTGACCGCTGCAACTCGAACCACGGGATTCTCGCTCTTGTGAACGAGGATCTCGTCCAACCGGTTCAGGGTAACTAGATTTTGGTGTTCGGGCCACCATGGACCTCGATCCCGCGTTGTCGTTGCAAAGCGGCATGTCGGTACTCCCATTCCAGTCTCTCTTCACATGTTCTAGCTCATGATCACTCCATTTCCTCAAGCGATCGAGGGCTTTCAGCCTCAATAGCGGCAGCCCTGGTGCCTTGCAATCGACCTCGCCCCGAACCTGCCGGATCACTAGGTTGAAATCTCCGTAGATCACTAGGCGCTTACGGTCGAGGTCCGCTAGCATGTCGAGTCCCAACAGGAGGCTGTTGTACTCTGTGTCGTTCACGGTGAGATTCTCGAGATAGCATGATCTGGCCTTGACCACCTTCCACCCAGGCATACTCCACACGATCGCGCTGAACGCGCCCCCACCCCGCTTTACCCGAGCCGATCCGTCAAAGCTAACCACCCATAATTTTTCCTCTTGATCCACGGTGGGTATCGGCGTTTGGGTCCGGTGTTTGGGTTCCTTCCGCGGCGCGATAGCTGTTAAGGCGTTGTCGATCTTTGACCTCGGCGTGATGCTGACGGCGATCGCCCCCAGTATATCGTCTTCTCCTTTCGTACATCTTGTGATCTTGAGAGTCCACAGCGACAAGTGAGCTGACCATTGCCCTAGACGACCCTGTAATCCCGCTGACTTGAACAGCCAGACCAGTGTGGAAAGCCTCGTCAGGACCCGGATCTCATGTCCCACCAATAAATTGTAGCAGAGGTCCAAGATCCTCGGCAATGCCAACACTTCCTTTTCTGTCACGTTGTAGTTCAGCTCATTTGTCTTTAGTGTGCGGCTGGCGAACACAACAGGATGGTAGATTCCGTCCTGTTCTTGCATCAGCGACGCGGAAATCACCCAGCCCCCTGGCATATACAATCACTACCGGTGTTCTCGTCTCGTCAAAGTGCCGGAGTATCGGCGTCTTCGCGATCTTGGTCCTCAGAGTTGTGAAGGCTTCATGAGCCCTGATCCGCCTCTCATTCAATGATACCGCTGGTTGGAGTTCCGGTGGGTCGTTATCCCGCGCGATAGGGTCATTCTGGTCCAAGATCTTCCTCAGATCCGATCGTTTCTCCAGTTCTGCGAATTCCATCTCGTGTAGCTCGTATAGAACTGGGGCGTATATAGGGTAGTCCTCAATAAATCGGCCGTAGTAGTTCTGACTCCCAGGAACGACTGTATGGATCGAAGCGATCCGGGGAATGGCAGATCGACCAGTTCTGCGAATTCCATCTCGTGTAGCTCGTATAGAACTGAGGCGTATATAGGGTAGTCCTCAATAAATCGGCCGTAGTAGTTCTGACCCCCAGGAACGACTGTATGGATCGAAGCGATCCGGGGAATGGCAGATCGGTCAGAGATTTCAGATCCTTCGGATCGCTTCTATACCTTCGACCGAGACTGGGTGTCCCAGATATTCTACCTTATTCATACCCCAAAAGTTCTTGGTAACACTGATCGATAAATTCCACTTATCACATGCCTTCAGCAGGTCTTCCCCCCCTTTGACACATTTGATCCCACGATTCCGCGGCGAACATGATGTCGTCAATGTATGATCTTCGTCCCAAAACCGAGTGGCGATCAGGATCGCCTGCAGTCCCTGTCTGGAATACGTCCGTGGTGATTTCTGGGCCACCTGATCGGGGAAATTTAGAATCCGTACAGTGCGTTGTCCACGAGGCGTTGATAGATCTGGGGCGCGTTTTTTAGTCCAAAGATCATGCGATTTGACTCGAATAGGCTGAACGGTGTGATAAATGCTGAGATCTCGCGGGATCGATCCGTCATGGGCACGACCCAGAAGCCGCTGGACATATCCAGTGAGCAATACCACAACGCCTTGTCTAGGTTCTCTAGCAGATCACTGATCAGAGGCATAGTGTAGACCATCAGTCTCGTGAGGCCGTTTACCAACTTGTAGTCGACGCACAACCTGCTATCTACGCTGTCACTCTTGTGGACAATCACTATTGGTGAGGCCCATGGCGACGTCGAAGGTCGGACGATCTCAATCAGACCTGCGACTTTTTCTCGGAACCGTGTGGGTACTTTCCGGTGTCGCAACACGATCGGTTTCGCGTTCCTGACATCAATATCACATACGACGCCCATGGCCGCCGGCGGTAGGGCGTTCTCCTTACCGATCAAGAGGTGTTGCTTCTATCAAATGATCTGCCGGAGTTTTTCGATCTCCTCGGGGGTGGTTGATCCGAAATCCCCTACTTATAGATCTTCGATACTGACTTTCGCGGTTGTCGAGATTGGAATGTCGGGAAGTACAGCTAGATTACCCGCGAGATCGTCGGCTGAGAGATCATCACTCTCGTGGTAGTATATCTGATCATCGTCCTCGGTATCCTGTCGGGGGATCGATGCTGCTGATAAATCGTGTAGCTCGACGCCCTCCGTTGGGTGGATCTGGGTGTTTACGCCGTAGTCGTCGCCGGACTCGGGCATGATTCCGGATTGACAATTCGGATTTTCCGTTTTCGGCTCGACATCCTTTGTGCCATTCGGATTTTCCTTTTTCGACTCGATATCTTTTGTGCCAGTCCGATCGAGAGACTGGCCCGGCATGCTCTCACTTAGCCCACCGCCCCCAGCATCGCCACTCCGATATCGATCGGCGTTGGGGTTAGTCGGTGATGTAGGCGGATGGCCCCTTTCCGGATTGGGAAATCTTGCCTCGATCTGGGCTGCGTTGGCCGTTTCCACCCGCGATCGAGTGCCGAGGGTCAATATCAACGCACGATCCCGGTTGGTGTCGGAGGTTTCATCATATCGTAGCAGCGATCGCGGTGTGGGGTACTTTGGTCGCTGTACTGCTGGCTCTTCAGGCCTCCCCCTGAAGCTTCTGGAAGCTCCGTGTATCTACCGTCGATTCCAATGCCAGGTTTTGCCACTCCCTGTAACCACAAGACCCGACGGACAAATCAGGGGTCCTTTGTCCTGATCCAGTATCATTCCGACATCGAGACGACGGGCTAGTCGTAGGATCTTTTCTCCGATATTCGAGACTATCAGGTAGCGAATCCGACCCGGGCCCTCAGTTACTATTGTTCTCCTCTGGTCACCCACAATTTTCTTGTAGCTGACAATTTTGTCCTCGCTGCTGTTTCTTCCGACTGTTCAACCGGGATTCGTAAATTTCTTTCGAGGGTTACTGATCTCACATTTTCGCCATACAGTCTCTTACGACCATTAAGCGGTATTCCAACCTCGTCAGGTAGGCGCATCGATCGGTCGGCGAGGTCCATCCGGACACCGTCTGGAACCATGAAATCCATGCCTAGGATCGCGTTCTGTCCTGAGAGATCTCCGATCCAGAT